CTGAAAAAGAAATTATTATAGATAACTTCACTAACACATAAAAATATGGAAATAATTATAAACATAAATGCTTAATACTGTTAATGCATTATTAGCAAAAGTATGAAATCAACTTCTTTCAAAATGCTGGACAACCAAGAGTATATGTGCATAAAAGATCTAAAAATATTACTTTAATTCTGATTTACACACACACACAAACACATACAAAACTCTTACAGACCAAGAAAAATGGCTATATCATTTAATATCCTATAATATAGCTGGCATAACTATATTTATATCTCATTGTAAACTAGAGTCCCAGTATTAGTTTCCCAACAAAAACCGAGTCATTCCTCCAACAAAGGACAAATAAAATGACTTGTGTTTCTTGGGTAGGCAAGTCTCCTTTTTAAGGTGTACAGCATCTTTAGAAACTTTTCTTCCACAGCCAATTCTATTGTATTTAGGTTTATGTCATAATTCTACAACCGATATTAATGTACTAATTAATGATTTTGAGGAGCAGGGATGTGCAGGGAAGGGGGAGGGATATAGTAGAGAGACGGATGACAGAGAGTAGAAAGAGAAGGAGAGAAGAGGAGAATGATGGAAGGAGAGAGAGGAGAGAGAGAGAGAGATAGATGAGAGAGAGATGAGAGAGAGAGAGATAGAGATGATATGAGAGGAGAGAGATAGAGAAAAAGTAGATAGAGGTAGGAGAGATGACGAGAGGAGAGAGGAGAGAGTAGAGAGAGAAGAAGAGAGAGAGAGAGAGAGAATAGGGGGGGGGGGGGGGGGAGGAGGGGGGGGGGGGGGGGGGATGTGGGGGGGGTGGGGGGTGTGTGGGGGGGGGGGTGTGGGGGTGGGGGGGGCAGAGAGGGAGATGGAGAGAAGAGGTGGTGTGGAGGGGGGGGGGAGGGAGGGAGGCGAGCGAGAGATGAGAGAGAGAGAGATTGATCGAGAGATAAGAGAAGCGTGGAGACAGAGAGACACACACACACACACCCACAAAGAAGAGAGAGAGAGAACGAGAGAGAGAGATATATAGAGAGAGAGAGAGAGAGAGAGAGACCACACACACACACACACACACACACACACACAACACACACACACACACACAACACACAGAGAGATATGGGTTGGGGTGTGTGTGTGTGTGGGGGGTGGGGTGTGTGTGGTGTGTGGGGTGGGTGGAGGAGATATTAGTAGAGCTATATATAGAGAAGATAGAGATAGATCTGATATAGATACACACCACAAACACACACACAGAATAATATATATGTATATATATAGTGCTGTGTGTGTAATGGAGATGTATATGGATAGATATTATTAGAGATATAGAGAGATGAGATATAGAGTATAGATATAATATATAGAATCCACACCCCACCCCCCGACATATAGAGATAAAACATATAAAGAGAGAGATATATATAGAGATAGAGATAATATATGATATGATAATGCTATCTATACAGACATAGAGAATGACAGACAGATACAGATACATAAGAGACAGAGAAGATCGATGAGAGATATTATAGATCTCTATCATAGTATATATAGGATAGAGGTAGTATATGAGATATATAGAAGAGATATATAATATACAGTATTATATACATACAGAGATATACAAGATACAATATATATAAGACACACCATATATATAGACACACTATAGGAGAGACACAACAAGAGATATAAAATATATAGATATGCAATAAATATATAAGTAGAGATGGATATAGAGTCTTATAATAGATAATATATACACACACACACACACACATATCTATATACATTATACATATATAGATATACTACTACACACACATATATGATATAGAGATATAGAGAGGATAGAGATGAATATAATATATATATATATATATATATATAGGGTGTATATTATATATGTATATGTATATCTAAACATAATATAGATACACATATATATAACAATTTATTATATATATACCTTATATACATCGTAGATGAGATAAGAATATATATATAGATTATATAAGATGATATATATATGATACATATATATACATATATAGACATATATAGAATAGAGATGATATAGTATCCAGATATAGTTATTAGAGATGACACAGATAGATACACTATATATAGTCTAGTATACAGATAGAGATAGCTAAGAGACAGAGCAGAGAGAGAACAGAGAGAGAGAGCTAAGATATAAGAGAGATCTATATATAGTATATTAAGATAGTAGATTAGTAGATATGTAAATATATAGATAGATTTATAATATTATATATGATAGTATAATATTATTTACTTAGTTTATGGTAATATCTATATATAGGAGAATAATGATAGTATATGGAGAATATTATATATATATGTAGAATATATATATATAGGAGATTATAGAGATATAGGATCATTTATATATAGGATTAATATAGATAGAGAGATAGATAGTTATATAAATAGAGATAGAGATAGGAGAGAGAGAGAGAAACATATAGAT